GATCCGACAGGCAAAATTCAGCTCATCCAGGAGCGACTGCAGGCAGCGCAGCTGAATATCGCGCCGCCCCATGGCCAAGGCCCCTTCGCGCTGCCAGCCTTGACTCTTATTCAAAGGCCAGCGGCAGTCCCACGCCAAAGAGACAATCTCAATGCCCAGAAAGCTGAGAAAGTGTGCCAATGGGATCCCAAACTAATGGAACACCTCACCCAGAACCCGTCACAGCAGCAAACAGGCTGTCGAATCGGCAGGACCCACACAAAAGAAATGATCGAGGTAGTGTAGCAAGGAGACTATACCAGCCTCCTTCCTCATCACCCAGTCCAAGAATGTGCTGAAGCATGCAAAGTAACAACAGGATGTGGAACTACCCATAGGGAGGCACATATCCACGTAATACATGCCTACAAAAAACACAGCCCAGAAGATGGTGACATCCCGGGTGCACTGGCAGTAGACGGAAGGCCGAATCCACATCAGCCCTGGCCCAACAAGGCCCCAGGGCCCATGGCCCTGACCATATCAACTGCCACGTCAAAGGATGCATAAGATACCCGTCAGAGTTCCCAAGAGATGTCGTCATTCACCAAACCCCCCCCCCCCGGGGGTACGATAAATAGTGAATCAGACGGTATTTGTCCAAAACCCATGCTCAACCCATCCAGTAGGATGCCAGCCACCCAGCAATTTCTATAAACTGGAGAGCCAAGGGCGCATCGCACTCATGACCACTGGCGCCATCGCCCTCTGACCCCAAATCCCCAAGTGGAACATTCGTGCTGGAAACAGCAAGATGCCTCCCATTTGCAGTGACTGTCGTTGAATTTCAACAACAGCCCAGCCTCCGATGCGCGGCCGGTGAGGAGGAGGACCCCCCCACCACCCCCCTGAGAAAGGACGAGAACGCACCCTGCTGGGGGACAATGTAGCTCACAGTGGAGGGCCAGAGGCCAATGTCAATCTGTTCCCACAAAATTGAGGGGCGCACCGCCAACTGTTGACAGAACTGCTCGTCATATTTCCACCATGCCAGACTGCCATAGGTACGACAAGCGTTCCAAATGGTATCCTGGTAGCAGAACAATGTGGAGCACTTCTGCTGAGCCCTTTCCCCAGTTACTCTGGCCAGGATTGCGCAAGTCATAGGGATCTTCAGGTACTGGTATTTCTCCTTGTCTTTTTTTTTTTTTTGATTCCTACCCGTCCTTTTCCATTAAAGGAGGAGCCTCCTCCATGGGAAGGAGGGAAAAATCTAAACAAAGTCTCCCCTCCAAATTTTTTACGAACCTCCTGTTGAAGGAGCAAGCCCAAGGGCCCTGACCAACACATAGGCGGACCCACGCGAAACGGCAAACCTGGGGGGTCACCTAATGCTAGGGACCACCTAGCAGCAGCAGGTGCTGCGGCACCCAACGCAGTAGCAAGGGGTGCCAGCATGCACACCCACTCCAGGAGAGGGTAACAGCGTGACCCCAAAAACAGTCAAAAAACCCCTGTGGCTGCAGCGCCGGGGACCACACTAACCGGAGCTGACCATCTAATGAGGGGACCCTACCTGTTGCACACCCTGCTCCCTTTATTTTTATTTTTTTTATTTATTTTTTTATTTTTCAATTTTTTTTTTCAATTTTTTTTTTTTTTTGACTGATCAAGAAAAAAACCCCAGCGAGGAACCCCTGGACTGAAAAGAAGAAACATTAGTGAACTCACCAGCCGATGCCCGAGGAACCTCCCGCGGCAAAAGAAATGAAGATGATCCAGGCAGGACAGAGTTAACTTCATTTTCAGCACTGCTCAGCCCAGCAGCAGCACCAAGCGCCATCTGCTGGCCGGTCCCAGGAACTGCAGCCAGATCCTGTGTGAAGAGCCGTGGAGAGGACCTCACACCTGCAGAGGAGGGCACCCGAGGTAAGTACCCAGGGGGAGGGCAGGGGGGACATAGGGACAAGGAATAGGGACAGGAGAGAGGGGGGGAGGAGGGAGGGAGACCGAGAGAGCCAGGAGAGGGCTTAGAGAGAGCCAGGACACCCAGAACAGCAGGAACAGGGGAGGAGGAAGGAGGGAGTTAAAGAGAGAGAGAGCCAGGAGGGGGAGCAGAGAGAGCCAGGAGGGGGAGCAGAGAGAGCTAGGACAGCAGCAACAGGGGAGGAGGAGGTAAACCAAGGGAGAGGGGACTCCAGAGGGAGAGGGGACAAGGGATGGCACCACAGGGGGGGGAGGGAAGAATTGGGACAGAACCCAGGGGGAGAGGGGGACCCCCCCGGCCGACCCTCATCCCTAGAGGAGCCATCAGAGCCTGGGGAGGACCCTCCTCCACCCCCCAGCGGCAGCACAGCCATGCCCCGCGTGGCCCTGAGGGGCCCACTCACCATTACCAGCCCGGCTCTGGATCCGCCGTGCGCTGACCACGTGGGGGCTGGGAAGGCCTCCTAGACCCCCCAGGATGCTCAGCAGGTCTTCTGGCACCCCTGGCCCGCTGTCCAAGGCTGGGGGTGCGCGGGGGGCGGCAGTAGTAGCAGGCCGCGTGTCAGATGGAGCAGATGGAGCTGACACGTGGGCCTGGTGGTGCCTCAGGCCTGAAGTCAGCCCATCAGCCGAGCTCCAGCCCATGCTCCTGCAGCCTACAGGGGGCTGTAGCCGCGTGGGAAGCCCCAGGAGAGGCCTGACCGCGGGGGGGTGAACCCACACCGGCAGGCAGGCCAGGCTGGAGGGGAGCACATTGCTCCTGAAGGTGCCTGCCATCATCCAGGGCAGCAGCAGCTCTGAGGGCAGCAGGATTGAATCCACAGCCATCCCTCAAGCAGGAAAAGCATGCAGGCCCAGGACAAACAGGAGCACAGAGGCAGGGGAGGTGTTTGCTGGCCAGAATCCCAAAAGGCACTGAGGTAAGATGACCCCTGCCCCACTACAAACCCATAACCACTCCCCTAAAACACATATAGCTAATCACTAGCACCATCCCCACACTCATACATGTGCCCTTGTCCGTTTAGCTATGCTGACTCCCCAGGGCCTTTCTAATTGTTTTGCTGCTAAAGTGCTAAATAGTACATTTGCGGCCTGCACTTCATATTTGACAGTCAAATAGAACCGTCAAATACCAATATAACAATATTGTAATTCAGGGGCAATACCCTCACAAATCAAACTGAGAGGTCATTTTATAGGGAAAACTGTTGCCTAGATACAATTCTAAAACAATTCCCATATGTCCTTTGCAGAGTTTACTTGCTGGAAAAACACAGGTGGCTTTCTGCAGTGTGCAGACTGGCAAGAAGGGCAGGGTTGAGGAGTGGGTGGAAGATGATGTGGAGGATGATTAGGTCCTAGACCCCATATGGAATCAAGGTCATGCGAGTGACGTGTGCAGTTTGGAGGAAGAGGCGCTGGTCGCACAGAGGCACCAGCACAGCTTAAGAGGGAGCAGGGTGAAGCGGCCGTCCCCTAGCGCTCCTCGGCATGTATTAGCTCGAGAATTACCAGTTATCCAAGTAACAGATGGAGCGATGAAAGGATCCATAATAGAGTTGAGCAAACCCGAACTGCAAAGTTCGGTTTCGTACCAGATTTAACGAGCCATTTGAAGTTTCACGTTGAGGGCAGCAGTCCGGTGACTGGGACCCAGACACTATCTGGGTGGCAGTCGGACGACCAGGACCCAGTATGCCTGATGTTGAAGTTAGGAGTCACAGCGTGGAATGGATTAGCAGGGTCTGGTCCAGGGTAACCGCACGCCCCCTGGTGTTGAGCCCCAGCGTTTGTGCGGCTACATACCAGGACCCTGGATACCAGAAGCCATCACCAGACTGATCCACAACTTGGAACAGGATGTGACATTCACTGTAGCGGCTGTGTGCGCTTCCAGCATTCTCACCCTGCTGCTGCTCGCCTGTCTGCGCTGCAGCGTAACTTTGGCCTTCCCGCTCACCGCCTCATATGCGACGTGCTCACAAGGTGGAACTCCACCTTGCACATACTGGAGAGAATGTGCATGCAGCATGTAGTGGAGAGGTAGTATAATCCACAATATCTCCTCTGGTTAACAGGAACAGTATAAAATAATCCAGGGGAATAAGCACAGCATACAATATTCCCGGTAGCGTTGTAAGAATCCTTCCTTCCCAAGAACTAGACACATAGGCTGGGAGTCAACGGAGGTTTTATTTTCAGGTCACGGTATTTATGGGATTCCCCATGCAAGGGGTTTCCCTACTGACATTCCAGGGGTTGTACAGTAGGGGACTACATGGGGAACTGACCAACACATACATTTCTCCCATCATGCACTGCTGGATGAGAGGGATACTCCCACTGGAATATACCGTTAATGGGATTATCCCTCCTTGCAGCAGAACTCACATTTTACATTAAAATGTATAACTTTACTAATATTCACTTGATTTATACGAACGGACGTTCGGCAGATAGCTGGGGGCTGAGCGCATAGTTCGTGAGAATACCGCTCAGCTCCCAGTCTAACTAACCGAACGCCGCACGAAATACACATTATTTTTAACATATACTTAAAACACCGATTAGTATCAGGGGAATAAACTACCGAATGGCCAGGGCTCCCGAACGGCCTGGAAGTCCAGCGGTGTTCGCGCCGTCGAGTAGCCGTTTTTAGTTCCAGGCACTCGACGGCAAAACCCCGCTGGGCTAACAAAGGAACCAAGATGGCCGACCGCCACGTGGTCAGTAGCCGAACGACGGCCACCTAGGAAAGTCTTTAACTACCGTTGCAATCGGTTAATGGGCGCCACACGACCTCCTGTGTGTGGTCGACCATTCGGTAGTTCATTCGTTTCACGAACAGTGTTTAAACTCACTGTTCGTGAAACTGCATAAGCAATGCTGGGTTTAACGCATTACAAGCATACAAACGCTCTCGTTCACATGAAAGCTACATACCACATTATACTTGGTTCTTACAGCAAACAAAACCCATGATATCCATACATGCAATACAGGCATAGTCTTAAGTGGCTAGGTTTGCCACACAGCAGCAGGCGATAGTGGAGTTTCAGCTGCAGCACGCACGGGTCAGTCGCTCTGCACCAGACTTGCCCTCCAGTTGATCAGAGTTAAAGGATTTCAAGTGGACTCATTCCAATTACAGGGCCTCTAAGGAGTCCTGTATTGTTATTTGTAATTACCCACTACCTCCCCACGTTGGGAGTGGGTAATTTGCGCGCCTGCTGCCTTCCTTGGATGTGTTAGCCATTTCTCAGGCTCCCTCTCTGGAATCGAACCCTGATTCCCCATTACCCATGGTCACCAGGGTAGGTGCAGAAAGTGGCATCGAAAGTTGATAGGGCAGACGTCACGGGGACGTGCGATTGGCCCGAGGTTCTCTAGAGTCATCAAAGTGCTTGCGCAACTATAATGTCGACAGCTACTCTGCCGAACGGATCTTCACTAATAGGTAGGGGATGAAGGGGGGCCCTGTGCCGGTCCCTTCTCTTCCCCTCTGTCTGGCAGACATCTGGCAGTACTGCCTCAGATCCTGAGAGATGACTGGCCAGAAGAAGCTTTGGGTGAGCCGAGACGCTGTCCGTCTCCTGCCCAAATGCCCTGCCAAGGGCATATCGTGAGCTAGCTTCAGCAGCTCTTACCAATACTTTCTTGGGTCTGGGGCTGGCTGTCTCTCACCAGCCGTGTCATTGGGGAGCCCATTGAAAAAGTGCTCTAGCATGACGAGCTGGTTGATCTCCTCTGGGAACTTGGCTTGATGGGAGTTGAGCCAGTTCTGGGTGGCCCTTGTGATGCAGCATGCCCACTCCACATGGAGGTCCTTTTCCCCTTTCCGGGTCTCCCTAAACTTTTGGGGGTATTGCTCGGGGGTGACCGCATACCGGGCCAGGAGGATTTGTGTAATAAAGGGATAGTCTCTGATCTGCTCTTCTGGTACAGCCCGGTAAATATCCGCTGCCTTCCCCACTAGTTTGCTGGACAGGATGGTGACCCAGTCGCTGGGTCCACGTCTTGGAGTAGACACTGGCGCTCAAAGTCTTGTACAAAGTCATTGATGCCTTCTTCTGCTTCCTTGAAGTCTTTGAAGGCATTGTATGGTAGCTTGTGGGCCAGGGTGGTTGTGCTTCCCGGCGTCCTGTACTCCCTTCTTCCTTCATCTGGGTTCATGGAGGTTACCCTCTGTCTATTGGCAAGGACATAGGCTTGCACCTCCAAAAAGGTCCTGCTGACAATCTCCTCTGAGGGTGGCTCTCGGTAATATGCCAGGCGCCGTTCCACCTCCTTGCACACTTCCTCCTCATCTCCGGCCCCTGTCTGTGGTTCGTTGCCTCACTGCATGCCTGGTCGTCCTCCATGAGCGCAGCAGTGAATTCGGCCTTGTTACACCCACCAGGCGTTATTCCTCTGGCTCCACACAAGTCCTGCAGTGTAGAGCTCTGTAGTCCATGGGTCTGTTGGCAGGGCCATGGGATCCTGCCGCTTGTGACCAATTGAAGCGGGACTTGGGTAACCGATGGTTATCCCCTTTGATTAGAATAGGTCAGAATTTCCCCAGTAACCGGATAGGACACAATTCCAGGAGACAACATTTGACAATCTTTATTTGGGTACACATCTTTGCCTCCTGTTCCCTCCTACTCCGTTTCCTCCTCCTCTACCTCCTCCTCATCCGGTCAGTGTAACACCTTCACCACCAACTTCAGCACAGCCAGGGGGAAAGGACAGCAGGCTGTTTTCAAACTCATATGTTTGGTGGAAAAACCCCACACCACGCAGGAGCAGTGGACGGGCATGGAACAACAGACCAACGAGTGGTTGTTGCAACTGAGTCTCAAAAAACACTTTGGGCGTTGATGGAAGAGGATGTGGCACAGGAAGTGGAGGAGGAAGAGGGGTAATTTCCATGGTTTTTCAGGCCAGTCATTCACAAGTGGCTCGGAGGGTGGGTTCCTGCACCAGCATAGGTCAGGTACACAATTGTCCAGCATCTCCACACTGTCCCATGGAAGCGTTCAGCTGTCCATCTCCCAAACACTGGAGAGAAAGAGGAAGTACCCCCCTAACCACCAGCGATCCCTGGCCCAGAATGCCAGCATTTCAAGATTCGTGGCCTTTGAAATGCTGTCATTCCGTCTGGTGGAGACTGACAGTTTTAAAAACCTGATGACGTTATTGGACTGAAATGCACCGCAGGCCGCAAATGTTTCTTTTTTATATGTCCCAATATTTTGGGGGCTACAAAAAAAAAAAAATTATATATATATATATTTAAAACAGTGTTGGCTACCTCCTCCTCCACCGCTGCTTCCACCTACACCGCCAAAGTCACCGCCTCCTCAACCTATGAGTCACTTAGTATAAACTATGTACACAATAGCAGAGGCTTGTGAAGGCCTTTTCTCCATGCAACAGGAGTTGAGCATTTCTCCATGCATCAGGGCTGCAAGAAATGCACCGCAGGCCGCAAATGTTTCTTTTGTTGTATGTCCCAATATTTGGGGGCTACCCCAATTAAAAAAATAAATAAATTATATATATATATATATATATATATAAACAGTGTTGGCTACCTCCTCCTCCTCCACCACTGCTTCCACCTACACCGCCACGGTCACCGCCTCCTCAACCCATGGGTCACTTAGTATAAACTATGTACACAATAGCAGAGGCTTGTGAAGGCCTTTTCTCAATGCATCAGGAGTTGAGCTCAGTTTGAACAATGAAAGAGAATACCCTGCACTCCAACCCTCTCTCAAATGGATAATTAGATTTTGATTTATATTCTTCCAAAGCTAAAATCAAAGATCCATCTAGTGCTATTTTATGGCTCAGCTGTATTTTAAATTTGTAGGTATTTTATGTTATTTTAAGTGATTTCCCTATCCACATTTGTTTGCACGGCACTTGTCCTGCTCCTACCCCCATTTTACTTCTTTTTGTAGCCCTCTAGCCTTTTCCAGGACTTTTTTAGAGCAATTTTTGTGCCAAAAAGTTCGGGACCCCATTGACTTCAATGGGGTTCAGGTTCGGGGTCAAGTTCGATCCCGAACCCAGACTTTTTTTCGAAGTTCGTCCGGACCTGAACATCCAGGTGTCCGCTCAACTCTACTCATAATATGTTTCCATTGGCTTGTGGCTTTGTAGCTGTCCTTCTGTGCTGTGGGAACCATCCCGCCGCTTGACACCAGTTGTTACAGCACCCCAGGTAGGGAAGGGGTTAAAGCTGTTAAGCTACCAATCACTCCAAACAGCCAAACAGGAATCATACGACTCATCCACACTCCAAACAGCCAAACGGGAGAAAACCATACAAATAATCCCCCCAAGTACGAGACAAGGCTCCGCATTGAGGGTCAGCAGGAATCTGTTTTAAGAATAACGCTGGGCGTTCGTATGTCCAAGATGGCCGCCGCCTCGTGTTTGTTATATGAATGATGACTACCCAGCCTGCATTCGACAATTAAGAGGTGTCGGCGGTTAACCACAACGTTCTAATGAGGCCAAGAGGTTAACAAGCAGCACACTTCCCTGCTGGGTGGCCAGCCATTCGGTACAAAAGGGGAATTAAATCAGTACGCATACGGACAGGGAAAAGCACAAATAAACAGACAAATGAGCGTATAATAAACGTAATTCCAAGACAGAGGGATCTTTCACAAATACTATGTAATTGCATCCAGGAGTACAGTTGCTGGCATAAATGCATAATATAGAAAATTCCATTTACAGCATCCAATAGGGTAAAGCTGCTAAAAATGAACTAATGTAGTAACTCAACTTAAAGAGACAGCAAAAAATCACTTGCCTGTTGAGTTTGGCGCCAGTAGTGGGTGTCTATAATTCCCCCAAAAATCTTACAACACATTAGATGTCTTCCCTTTAAATAAAGTAAAAATAACAAGTGAAAATTAACTTAGATTGTACATTCTTATTACCTATTAGCTTCAGAGTCCGGCGCCGGTATCGTACGCATATTATACCAAAATTAGATCGCTAAAGCTGATTATATGAATACAACAGCCAGACCTCACTCCTACTTAGACACAAAAAACAAAAGAATTTATTTTTATTTTTTTTTATGCAAAAGAAAAACAAGATGCACAAGAGCATGCTGTCACCAATGCTAGATTGCAATTATAGTTGGCATAGTTACACAAACCAACGTACA